AATACGATAGTAAATAAAAATAAAATAAATAATAGATAATTAAATACAATAAAAATTAAATAGTTACAGATAAAACTAATAATCTTGAGCCCCCATTGCAGTCCCTAACCCACACTCAGAAATAATTTGGTAGATGACTGTCCATTTTTTTTTTTTTGGTGACTCTTACACATTTACACTTCCATATGAGTAAGTAGTTTTCTTTGTCTTTTTCATGCTTTTTGCTGTGGATGGGGCTGTCTCCTGCTTGCTCGAAACTGAGTAGAGAACTAGTCACAGAGAACTGCACTGCAGCCAGCCCAGAGGTGATCTGTAGACTCAGCACTCTAGATCCCCTGTGGAGGGCCACAGAAGAACAAGCATGCTGGCCCAGTCATACTGGGCTCTGCAGTGTAGACTAAAGCACGCTAGGGGTTGCCTCGGGTTTGAAGGTTATTGTGACCTGTGGGTTTGAGGTTGGTGCTGGGGAAGGTGGCCAGTGGCACAGTAGAGGGTCCTGAGGGCTGTGACAGAGACTGAAACGCTGAGAGAGCCTCTCGATCTTGACTCACAGCTGGTCTGGGAATGAAGTCCAAGTCCAAAGTGGTTTGTACTCAGCTCAGCAATTAATTGAAAGACTTTCTTTGACCTTGTCTTTTGCATTTGGGGTTGCTGATAAGAAATGTGAAGTTCCTTTCTTCTCAGTCCACACTCTCTCTCTAGGTGACTTCAACCAACCTCAGTGTTTACCACCTGTGTTCTAGTGACTTCCCAAACTATATTTCCCTCGCAGTTCCCCCTCCTGAGGTATAGTTTCCACCTCATGTAAGTCTCAAAATTCTCTCTCCCCATCCCGATCAGTACTTTTGTTGAGTCCACAACTGGTCTACTTTCATCTCATCTCTTTCTAATCCATCCTCCACGCTGCAGCCGAGTGACATTCAGAAAACACAAACTTATTTATGCCAACATTGGAATTCATTGCCCCCAGGAAAACCTACAGAGCCTTAATGAGTCTACATAGCCCTACACAGCCCTACATAGCCCGTGTGATCCTGATTGTGCAGCGGCCACACCGGCCTCCTTGTGCTACTTCCAGAGACACCAAGAACACTTGTGCCTCAGGGCCTTGGCCTTGGCTTCTCCCTCTGCCTCAAGGCTCTTCCTCCAGATATCTCCACTCCCTTATGACCTTCAGATTTTTGTTCAGTGTCACCTTAGTGAGTGAGGCATGTCCATAGAACTATAACCACTTTACCTTTAAGTATTAATTTTGACCTTGGAAATAAGGTCTATTAACTACTGATAAATTCACTGGAACTCAGAATAGTTAGATGATCACTTCAGTAATACTAATAAAAAGGATGAAATGGTTGGAAGATAAAAATGCAAGATCCCACTGTTGTGTCCATTTAGACAGATCCTGTTGGTCCATAGAAATCAGTAACTGTAAGCACAGCAGTGCCTTAAAATTAGTTCATGACAGTGACCTGAGTTACTTCTGCTAGGTTAGAGAGATCTATTACCTAGTATTCTTTGAATGTAGCTATGATTACCCTGTCCATGTAGCACTTATTCTATTTTACAGTTCTTATTATACCCTATCCAACAAAGGATTTCGATGCCAGAACTAAGATACTTTGTTAAATTCTCTAGGAAGCCAAACATCTATAAAACTTTTGAAAATGTGATTGGTAACGATGTTGTAATCGAATCTTGGATAAACTCAATATACATATTTCTTCTTTTGCAAATCAGCTCTCAAATTTTAAAATTATGAAAAATAAATCCAGCTTAGATCTAGCTAAAAAAATGAGAAAGCCTTAGACTAGGAACTGCCTATTCATTTAAGACCAGAGTCCAGCAAATGGTCAGGCAGATGGCAGATGAGAACAGTAAGAATGATGGGGACACGTGGGAAGGATGAGGAAGACGCAGAAAGTGAACGCAGAAAACACTTTCTCCACCCCTTCCCTCTACCCTCTTACCCATAAAACTTGCCTATTGTCTTCCCTCCACCTGAGAAAAATTGGGAGAAAATAGCTTCAGAATCAAGACAGACCTCAGATTGAATTCTCTCCTGGCTTTAACTAATCTGAATTCTAATTCCTTGATTTATAGAAGAAATAATACCCTTTATGCAGCTGTCCTGAGAACAAAAAGAACAGCATCCAGAAAGTACGCCTGATGTTGTACATCCTATCCCCTCAAATGACACCTGATAACCTCCCCACTCACAGTGTGGGTGAGAGTCAGCAGGCTCAGCTCTTAGGAGCTCACCCTAGACCTGCTAAGCCAAACCTGTGCTCTAGCAAGACTGTACAACCAAGTGGGAATGGCCTTGTCCTATAGCAAAAGTCTCCGTGGTTTCCAGCAATCCGTCTGTTCAACTACACATGAACGCTTGCTTATTCACCCACTTACAGTAATTATGTTCCTTGCCATATGACGGAAGATGTAACACTTACATTTTCCACGTATGATGTGTGTTGGCGACACGTCCAGTCTGGAGATGATCTGGGATGGCCTTCCACTTGATGCACCTGTCACCGTGCAGAAGGAGTGAGGCTGGCCAGGCTCAACATCCAGGGCCTTGCAGACGATTCACTGGGGGCGTACATTCTGCTCACAGGTCAGATGTCCCACTGTTTACACCAATCAGAGGGAAAGCTGAAGCCAAGAAATGGCCATTGACAAATTCACATTGAGCTTAGTAGATGTATTCTAGGGAAGAGGGAGGCAGAGAATAGCATTCTCTATATTTTTACTGGAACTAGGTAAAAACAACACAATTCAATTAGCTTAAATATGCACTAAGTATTTATCCCATATGAACATCTGGAAGAATTTGGCTCATGCATAAGCAGCAGCCAGAATAAAAAGGTGTCTCTCCAATTGCATTGTTTAAAAAAAAAAAAAAAAAAAGATTTAACTGGTTTATTGGGGAGTCTCATATCTCTTCAGGGTATAAACATAATTTCTTCACATTACTGCTCTTAATGTAATCTGTTGAAATCCCCCTTCCTACTGGATATCAAGTCCCTTAACACCATCTGGACCAGATTCTGTAACTGGTTAGAACTTTCAATGACCAAACCTACCTAAACTGACAACCAGGTAAATGAGTAGAACTATACATTCTTTTCTGCACCATGGGAAGATTAATTTTGGAAACCACCACCCTGTATGGTTACATTATACTTTTGAATATTAAGAACTGGCTAAAGTAACACACTTCCTGAAAACAGAACTTGATTTAGTAAACGATGTTCCATGCCTGCAGAAATTCTCTGAACTGTATTCTTCCAAGAACCAGGCCTTATCCTTCCTCATATTTCCAATATTTTGCAGTTCTTGGCACCACAGTAGGTCGTTGTCAGTAAACGTTCAGGTAGACTTATCTTTGACAAACTGTATCTTAAAGGGCAAAGGCTACTGAGTTATTAAAAAACAAATGGAAAACAGGGTAATTACACTTGCTTAAAAGTTTAGAGTTGATAATATAATCTAATGACAGATCATAAAACTAATAAATTTTCTTTGGCTTCTTTTGTGTGCCCTGTACCCTGGAATGATTTATATAATCTATTTCTGTTCAGAAGCATTTTCTGTCTTCACATGTTTTTGTCAAAGACCCAGTACAAGGATCTTATACAGAAATTATTGGAATATTATTTTCAACATACCTTTAAGTCACTACTAAAAGGAAAACATTGACACAATGAATGTGATACTTAAAAACTGCAAGATTTGGCAGTTTAGAAGAGTAATTTTAAAACCAACAAGAACTGACTGATTAGCTCAATTGGTTAGAGCCCAGCCTTGAAACACCAAGGTCAAGGGTTCAGATTCCCAGCCGCTCCCCCTCCAAAAAAAAAAAAACAAAAAACAAAAAAACAGGATGTGAGAAAACCAACAAAAGGCTAATTTGTAACTTTTAAAAGAATTACCTATACATTTAAATATTTTTATCTGAGGAATGATCTGAATTATTAGTAATATACAATAGAGGGATGGATATTTTGAAGAAAAGTTATTATTTAAATCAACCTAAGCTGCACGTAATCAACTTTTAAAGTTATAATTAAGGAATGCTTTCAGGAGAAGAAAATAATTTTTCATTATTAGAAAATGAATTACTTTAAATTCAAGGTATATGAGTATTATTATGTTTCGAGAAACAGTGTGCTCATTGCATTGGGGGTATTTAAAGAAGTAGATTCCTATAAGGCCATTTTTTTTCCTCTGTTCTTTCTTTTCCAGTTCACAAGTAACCACTTACTAAACTTTTTCAACAATTCAGACACACTGCAGGTGCACCAGATTTAAACAGGCATTGCACAAACCAAATGGAGATGCAACCTACCATGAACCTGAATGCTACTCCAGATTAGACACCAAAAACTCGAGGCTTACTCAGCAACTAAGTGCACATAAGAGGACATCTACTTGGGAGATTTTGAGGTACCAATTCTCTCTGGTCAGTGTATGTACAAGCTACTTTGATGTAATGTTTTATAAACCCCCAAAAAATCCTTCTGGCCTTTGTTTTTCATGACCAGTGGTCTTTGCAAGTTAAGGTCAACTGAGCTGAGCTACAAGTAAAGACAGGTTCTGTCTATATTCAATACTTGTATGGCACTGGTACCCTTTCTACAGATTCAGAACTTTCTAACACATTCGGCAGGGCAGGGGGGCGTACGAAAGACTAAAATGAGGATTAGAGGGGTGGCTGAAGAGGCCGTCAGCTGGTGATGATGGAGGAGGGTAAACCGGTGTTGGCCACAGACGAGCCCACAGTGCAGCAAAGAGACAGAGCAGAACCGCAGTAACTTCTAGTAACCACCATCCAGTCGTGCCATCTAGTGAGGCAAAACTGAAGAAGGAAAGGAAACCAAAAGGCCTTGACAAAAAAGGCAGAAAGGTAAAAGAAAACAAAAAGTAAGGGGTCCAGAGGGTAGCCCACTACCGCCCTGCAATAAAGAGAAGAGGACAAGGTCAGAGCACAGACTCTCTCCCACTTCTTTCAAACAAGACAGGCGATGCTTTATTTGGATCACCAAAAATAACATTTTACAGAAAGGGAACTATAACATTATACAACAAAGTATAGCTGTAAAATCTCAAACGAGACAGACAATGCTTTATGTAGATCACCAAAAATAACTTTTCAGAAAGGAAACTGTGACAGGCAAATGTATAGCTGCAAGTCTTCTTCTGCTATCAGTACTGATTCCCTCTAAAATACTTTGAGGCTACTTCACAGTTTCCAAGTACAAACTAAAATTTGTTGGATAGAGTTGCTCAGGCTCATTACAAACTTGAAAAGAGTTTGCAAAACAATTTTATTTAATGCTAACAAATAACTAAACAACGTAGTTCTCACTAATAACTAACTGCATTGTCTACTGGAACAGCCTGACCTACATATACTTTCAGGAACGTTTCACTGCGAACACAACTGCTCTTTTCCTGCCATCACAGATGGCCTGTGCAGTGGCAGGTGTCATGTCAGAGCATTTTCAGGCACCTAGGAAGTAACTCTTAACAGAAGTAACTATAGAATGTGGGGTCAACTCAAGTAACAAGGCCACCTCTGCTGGAGCCGCCAGGGTGGGCGTCACATTTGCACTGTGTAAAGCAGACCACCATCTCCTTAGTTCTTCACCTGGGACCCACAGCACAAAGCAAAACAGTGCAGCTGCTCTTACAGGACCGTCAGTGCTCTAATAAATTGCCCTGGGGTTCTTGGTGCTGTAATGCGCCTCGCAGGCGGCGACATAAGCCGATTCTGGAAAGAAGTCATCATGGTATTCTGCTAAAAACCTGGAAAAAGAAAAAAATGGCCCTAATGAGCATCGCACTGAGGACTAAATACCAGTAAGCAAAATACTTTCAACAAACTTAACATTTCAACTCTTTTTTGGTATTAAGAATTTTAAAAATGACTATAATCTTGATTTCTATATACTGATTACTTTCATTGCACTTATCTGGCTTCTATGTGAATTACTATTTATCTGAATCCCTTCACTATCATCTGGTGTACTAACAGAAATAAAACCTAAACTCCACTAGGTGGCAGTCTGGTTGTACAAACACTTCTGTGAAAAAAAGCAACACTGAATATTTGTATATTTTCCTGTTTCACAAATGTGGTATGAGCAAACTTACACCAAAATTTAATGGAATAACCAGAAATAGCATTTCTAATTTGCCATGCCAAGAAGTGTTACATTCCCAGCTTACAGTACCAAAACACGTAAAAAAAAAAAGAAAAATGGCTGATTTATGTCTGAAAATAAATATTTAAATGTAGCCAGTCATTCAAGAGTCTGCAATATACAAATAACATCTTGACTCAAACTTCAACTGATTTTGTCATGGAGTGCTAAAATATTCTCAAAAGTGCAATATTAATAATTGGTTTCCTGCTTGTTTTCCCACTACCTCCCACCTGTCCAAATTCCTAAAAATGTACAATACCTTCTTTAGTAAACACTGAGTCAAAATTCATTCAACAGCTAATTCTTTTCTTCTACGATTGTACCCTTTCTACCGTCATTATTGAGTCTGTTGATTCTAGCTAATGTCTTTGATACATTTTTAAAATCTCTTACTATATTTATTTGTAAATCCTTCTAAGTTACCTCCTAAAATCCTAATTTCTACTTTGTGTCGGGCATACTTCAGAGTTCGCGGGCTTTCCTATGCTAACTTGCAGCTGCCTCTTCACCTTTTCTTGGCACTATTTGATTTCAGTTTACAAAGTTCTATGCCAAATAGAGCTGTGGGTTTGTTTGAGGGGGAGGCTGGGAGGGAAGAGGGTATTTTTGAAACTTGTTTCCAATAAAAAGTTTAATTCCACTCACAGACACTTTATTCAAAATACCTACAGGAAAGTATCTTTCAAAACCACAAGACTGATTTCTCTGGATGAGGTGCTATCCAATCTGTGGAAAATCCTTGCTTAGTCAGGGTGGGGCCTGACTACAAGGAAAAGGTTCTCTTGAAAGGGAAGGAAGGAGCAAGTTCAGGTAGCTAAGATGAGCAGGGTGAGCAGGTGATGACTAGCCTTGAAGGCCAAGGAGAGAAGGGGTCAATAGATGCCTGGATGGGAGAGGGACAGAGCTGGGCCACAGCAGGGGATGGGGGACAGAGCCTTGGCTCTGACTTGTCTTGACTACATTATCATCAACCTCAATCCCTTCCACTTTAGGAAATTCAGTTTCTACTGGATTCTAGTGACACAAAAAACTTTACCTACGTACAATAAATACCCTTGACTCAGAAACTGAAAAAAGTTATGGAAAAAAGAAATATCAAAAAAACCCCTATGTTACATTACAGTTAGAACCAACCATACCTAGGTAATACTGCTACTATTTAAAATACCACAGGGCTGACTTCCACATGCATTAAAGAGAAGTTTAGAAAAGCCACATATATGGTAGCAGAAAAGTTTTGAAAAAGTAATAAAAATACCTCAGAAAGAGATCAAAGTGCCTCAGTAATGCCTTCAGATTCTTCTTAGAAAAGGACATCTTTCCAAGGATTTCTGGAAGTTTTACTGCATTAAAAATAAAAGCAAAACCATTTACACATCAGAATCTGGCAGGTAGGATTCATTCAGGGATTATCTGGATCCCTTTATCTTTAGTGGAATTGAAACTAAATTTAGTCCACATTATCAAACAAGACCAAAAACTCTGACTGAACAAGGATAGGGTAGTAGTACAAATATTACAAACCCAATTTTTATGAAATTTAAGATTCATTCAGTGCCTTTTCTTTGAAGAGGTCACCTTTGGATGATTTTTCTTAGACCCCCAAATTTCCACATTAGATACTTACAAGCCAAACCAGAAGATGTACATAAGCTGACCAGAGTGTTGAAAACAAAGCAAAATGAAAAATGGAAAGAAAGCAAGAGCCAGGAATTTTACCAAACAATCGCAGCAAATGTTGTGCCCCATAAATATAAGAGGGTGGAGGCGGCTGGTCCCCTGGGGGGTAACTGTCGGGCACAAGCTTCCAAGAGAGGACCTGGGAAAAGCACAAATGGAATGCTTTCAGTGTTCTTCATGGCTACACTTCTAACCACCTACAAATTATGAAGCTAAATTGTATATAAAGGAAAAAGATATGCCACTATATCAAAATAAGCACAAGCTTATAAAAATAAAAGTGAGGGGCAGAAAGACTTAAAATCAGACTAAGGAAATAATTTGATTTCTTAATTCTCAACAAGCTGTTACTTATAAATAACTGTGACTGTTTTGGTCACTTAACCCCTTTTCCTTTATTGGAAATCCTGATGTATTAGAGAGAGAATGAAGCATTAAAAAGTAACCAAAAGATGTTTTGAGTAATATTACCGTTGTTTCATGATTCCCTAATTTCTTGCTCTTAGATTCACTATAGACACTAATTTGAATCTTTTCACTCCTTGAATCAACTGAAAATAGACTTCAAACCTGGTAACCAATTTCTCTGCCCTCCATCTGAATTTCAGAACTGCAAGTGGATTTGTGGAAAGTGAGAGCTGCATTTCAAAACTCTCTGATGACTTTCCACAGAAATACTTCAGCAAATTAAAGAACCAGAGCCTATTCTACGGAGTTTCTACTTTGGCTTTTGGGAAGTGTCAAATTTATTTATTTATTTATTTTGTCCTTTTTGAGATGGCCACACCGCGCTCAGCCAGTGAGCGCTGTGAGCACACCGGTCATCCCTATATAGGATCCGAACCTGCGGCGGGAGCGCAGCACTGCACTCTCCCGAGTGCGCCACGGGCTCGGCCATATTTTTTTTTTTTTTTAGGACGTGTCAAATTTAATACAGAAATAGGCAGGTCAAGGAAACCCTCCATGAGATAAAGCAGAATGGTGCCCCCAAAACCCAGAGATGCAGACATAGTCAATTTGACAAAATGAAACCGCAGAAGCTAACAAGTGACAAGGTGGTTACATAGGACTCCAGGACGAAGGCCAGCGTCACCTCAGCCCTGCCTAGCCACCTCTAGACTCTAACGTAGCCCCTACCCTCCATCCTGTACAGCACTGAGGGCAGGGATAGGTTCAGCGTCTTCACACCCCCCTGGACACCTAACCCAATGCTTGTGGCTGAAGCTGGGAGTTGTTCCAACTGTGACACTCAAAGGGAACAACTGGGACTTGCGATCATCAGAGGCAGGGACCACACACGGTGTGTACAAAAGTAGGTCATCTGGGGCCGAGCCCGTGGCGCACTCGGGAGAGTGCAGCGCTGGGAGCGCAGTAGCGCTCCCGCCACGGGTTCGGATCCTATATAGGGATGACCAGTGCGAGTGCAATGCGCTCGCTGGCTGAGCGCGGTGCGGCCGGTCACAAAAAGGACAAAAAAAAAAAGTAGGTCATCTGGCTAGTTAGCAAGTGGATCTCCCTCAGACACATTTTATGGGGGAACACAGGAAGTTTCTGGTGGAGGGATTCTTGATGTCGCATGTACTTGCACATCTAGACCCTTCCCTTACGCAGCAGGGCAGAGGCTGGTACAGGCAGAAAGAGCCACAGGGATCTGGAGAAAGAGCCCTGGTTAAAAACTCCGTGACAGAGGCACTGAAGGAGGTGGGGATTCACTAAGGTCTTAGGAGTCCTCGTCCTCCTGAAAGGCGGCTCAACTCCAGCCCTTTACCAGAAAGCACACTTTTCTACTTCAGCTTGCAGCTCTGCCCATAACCACTAGATGGCAGACTCGCCCCACTGACCAGAGGGACAAAGGCCCTTCCTTGCCTGATTACTCCCCTTCAATAATAAAACCTGCAGTGCCTTCTTGTCTGAAAAATGGGAGTGTTAAGGAATACTTGTCCTAGGAATTTCCCAATCTCCCCTCAGCAATTATCACAACACAAATCAGGCTCTCTAAGCTTCTATACCAGGGGTCCGTGACCTATAGCCTGTGAGCCAAATCCAGCCCGATGCTCCTGTGCTCAAAATGATTGAAAAGAATCGAATGAGTAATATTTCATGATATATAAAAATTGTATAAAATTCAATTCCCGGTGTCCACGAACGAATTCTAGGGAGGCACCAAGCCATGCCCATTCATTTATGGACTGTCTATGCTGCTTTCATGCTGTCACAGCCGAGCTGGGTAGTCCTGACCAAATGGTACACACCCCTGAAAATACTGACAATCTGGCCATTCACAGAAAGTTTGCCACTCCCTGTTCCCATCATCAAATGTTCTTTGCCTAACTAACAAAGCCATCTTCCCCTGTGCAAATCCATTGTAAAGAAACAAGGCATTCCCACCTCCTAGGGGAGATTCACAGAACACCCTAATGGACTTCTTCTGAACTCCTAAAATACCCACTACCTACATCACCTAACTGGCCTTAAAAATAGTTTTAAAATGAAAAGTTTCCTCAACTGTCAAATGGAAACCTGGTGGCAAGAATTCAAGGTAGGGGAGAGGGAGGGAAGGGTTTGGGAAGTGACAGATCGGGCAAAGGGTATAAAGAAATATCACAATTTGTAAGAATGAATATGCCAATAATAAATTTAAAAAAAGAATTCAAGGTAATCTGGTTCAAGTGTCTGGCACTATGTTGGCATACAGCACACCCTGAAAGGGATGGCTATTAGTGTTACTGTTAATGACGGAGGAGAATCAGATATTAAAGTAGGAGTCAGCAAACTACAGCCTGCTGGTCACATCTCGCCCAACCACCACGTTTCTATATTGCCCACAAGCTAAGAATTCGTTTTACATTTTTAAATGGTTGGAAAACAAACAAAAGAGTAATATTTATTACACATAAAAAATATATGCTATTCAAATTTCAGTATCAGTAAATAAAGTTTTATTGGAACAACACAGCACACTCACTTTATTTACATGTCAGCTGTGGCTACTTTTGGACTTGTGTAGTCTTGACAGACATCATTTGGGCCATAAAGCCTCAAATATTTACTCTCTGGCCCTTTGCAGAAAAAGTGTGTCAATGCCTGTTCTACAAAATGAAAATACTGGTATTTCAATAATTGTACTTATTTAAGATAAGATATGACTGTAAGTGTAGGGCTGGAATCCTAACAACTTTTTCATTTTAGAAACCAAAAGTAGAATGTTAAGCATAATCCTATAAGCAATTCTGTTAACATTTACAGTAGTAGCAACATGATGCTTCAAGAACTCTGCCTTCCTCCCACAGGATTCAAGCACTTGCAAATGGGGGAGGAGTCACTGGGGATGAACATTAAACACTCACGCTCTACCTCGTTTATTTCATTAGTTCTTCTCCCTTCAATGCCAGCAAACACAGCACTCCCTTCCTTGCTAGGAGTCAGAGGAACAGGTGAAGATGATCTGCTGTGCACAGGTGTCTCTTCAAAAGAAAAAGATGTAATCATTCCCCTAGAAGTTACACAGTGACAGAATTAAAGGCTGTCGTCATGACCATTATCAACAAAAATCTAAAATTGGTTCTTGGAATTATTAATCTTTAATAATAAGACTTTCCTCCTATAAAAGATAGCAGCTGGAGTATTATTTGGCAAAAAAAAAAAACTCCACAAAAGAATAAAGTACTGACACCATGCTACGATGTGGATGACCCTTGAAAATATTATCCTAAATGAAAGGATCCAATCACAAAGGGTCACTTGTTGTATGATTCCATTCATACGAAATACCCAGAATAGGCAAATCCGGACACAGAAAATAGATTCGTGGTTGCCAGGGGATGCAGGGAGGGGTGAGTGAGGAGTAACTGCTAATGAATGTGGGGTTTCCTTCTTGGGGTGGTAAAAAATGTCTGGAACTAATTTTGGTGATGGTTGCACAACTCTGTGAATGCACTAAAAACCACTTTAAATGGGTGAATTGTACAGTAGTTGAATTATATCTCAATAAAAGCTTAAAAAATAGCACTTCATTTTAACACTTGATTATTCAAAAGGAGTTTTCAAAGGTATGTCTTCTTTTACTCTGCCCTTCTGAGCCTTCCCAATCTTGATTCCATCAGCAAATACTTACTAGCACCTAGAACTATGCCCCAGACTCGGAGCTGTGATGGGGGCAACACAGCCAGCAAGTCAGTCCTTTCTGCGAAGGAGCTTATGATGTGGTGGAGATAGAAGGTATGCAAGGAAACAGGCATCGCATCGGAACTCAAGAATGTTGCTGTGCTTTGGGATTCAGAGAGGGTGACCCTTAGGGCACGTCCTGAAAGTCAGCAGCAGAGGCTGGGTAAGAACAGGGACAGCAGAGTCCCTCACGAGGTACATCTACTCAGGCCTGATGAGTCGAGTCTGAAGAGTTTGACCCTGCCCTGAGCTGATGAGGCATTTTTGATACTTAGAAGGATCGTCTTGGATGTCACGGCCCGAGAGAAGAAGGCCTGCACCTCTGCAGTGGGGTGCCTGGCGCCTGCTGGTGCAGCTGTCTCCGACTCCATGCAGCGTTCGATGCCGGCCACCAACCCGTCTCCTCGACTGCCAGCTTCTTCCCTGAGCCCGACATCCGCTGGCTGCAGCACCTGCTGGCACTCACCTCTCACTCTAGTCTCTCTGGCAGTACAGGCAGAATTACATCGACACTGGCACCATATTCGGATTTGTGAATGTGGCCTTAGACGTAAAGTGAGTAGCACTAGTAAGAGGGCTCAATTAGCATGGTTAACCAGCCAAATTTTAATTAATTTGGGAAAATGCCTGGTCAGCATGTTATGACAGCTAATCTTAGCTTCCAAAGTAATCGTATTCAATGAACAGCACTTAACTGTTTCAGCAGTTTTTCAAAATTTTAAAGTGATTATTACTGGCTTACACCTAAGTTTCATACTTCAGCAAATCAATCTATGTGTACTTTGAAAAAAAAACAGAAAAAGTAAACTCTTCCATAATTTCATTTGGCCTTTAAAATATTCCAGCTCAAAAACACGGTGAACAGATCTCATGGAGTCTGGGGTGGGGCTGAGACGAGGTAAGAAGAGCTAATGGATAGAAATGTGGATGTTCTCACTTTGATATTTCGGGATAGAACTTTCAAGATTAAACTTTAGAATGGAGAGAATACTGAGACAAAGTACAAAGAAAACCAGGGCAAAGTGACCTGCTAGTACTGCTCACGTGGTCTGATTGGTTAGGACTCTGTACAGAACCCAGGTTCTAATCACTCAATCTGCTCACAGAGAGTGGTAGAGAGTGACGGTGAAGAGAAAAGCAGAGGGGACAGCGCCCAGCCCTGCCTCCGCCGCGGCCTTGCTGTGCCATCTGTGCCAGCTGCTTCATCTGTCTATGCTCAGCGTCCTCTTCAGGAGAGCGGGTGGCGTTCAGTGCTCTGGACGTGTTGTGGGAATCACACGCATCGCACACGCATGCACAGAAACTCCACCCAGAGCCTGGCACCGCGTGAGCCACAGGGCTCGGGGCGCCAGGAGTGAACCTACTCTTTTCCAGGTGCAGGAACAGCTTGGGCATGCTGGCGGACGTGTCCTGCTGCCGGCGCTTGGGCTGAGGCGAGGCGCTGCTCTCCGACAGCCTGTCACAGTTGGCAGTGTGGCGCGTGGACCGCCTCAGAGACTGCAGCGCTTCCGGCTCGGCTTTGCGCCTTTTGGGGGTGGCTGGCTCACCTGTGGTCGGCTGACTCTCTGTGGACTGCGGCGTGGACGGATTCAACAAAGGCGGGCTGGGAGAGAGCTCCTCCTGGCTCCTAGGGGAGAAGGAGAGGCCTCTGCAGAGCCTGGAGGGCTTCTTACTGGGCACCCTGAAGACAGAACAGAAAACACGCTCCCCACTCCCAGATGGCTGTAAATCAGCACCTCCAAATGTGCCAAAATACATACTTCCTGAAAAAGAGTAACACACTAGGTCACTAAGTCATTTTAATCCTCTCCATAACTCTGTAAGGCATGCTGGCACTAAAAATTGTGATGCCCCTTTAATATTTGACAGCAGCTCTCAATTAGGAGCAATTTTGCCCCACAGGGGTTGGCAATGTCTACAGACATTTTTGATTGTAGCAACCAAGGGAAGGGGACGCTACTGGCACCTGGTGGGTGGAGACCAGAGGTGCTGCTCAACATTCTACAGTGCACAGGACACCCCTGCAGCAAAGAACGATCCAGTTCAAAACAAGGCCGAGTTGAGCAACCCAGTCTAGAGAATAGGAATACCATATAATCCCATCAAAATGTCACTACTGGCAGGACTTGAAAAAGCCACAAGCATCAGGGAGCTTCGTGGAAACAGAGTCCACCCTGGCTGTTAGGGATCTCGAGGTTTGGAGTAGGTCACAGGGACTTTGACATGTCACCAGTGAGTCTCAAGAGCATCTCACCTGGAGTGAAACTGACGTGGGGAAAGGGGAGAGAGAAGCCACCAAAGACAGGCAGGCCAGGAGGAGACAGTGGTGAGGCAGACAGAGAACGAGGACAGCCAGGAGCCATGAAGCAAAGGGAGAAGGGGGGGGGAAAGGTGGCCAACGCATAGCACGGCAGGTGCCAAGTGGGAAGCTGCAGTGTCCCTGGAGCAAGAGTTTAGCAGGGGCAGTGGTAGATAAAGGCAGCTGGTGCGTGGTTAAGAGAGGAGACAGATGAGTAGAAATCATGAGAACGGACCTCTTTCTCAGGAAGAGGGACAAGAGGCAGACAGTGTAATAGCTTATAGACATTAAGGGTAAAGACTTTGGGTTGGGTTGGGTTGGGTCCCTTCCCCCAGTCCCCAAAAGGAAATTGGAGCACGCTTAGTCATTGAGGGGAGAAAAGAGGTGACACAGCCGAGAAGGAAGTAACCTTTACTAAAGGCCAAAGGTTGCTGGCCCTTCGCGAACATTCTCATCCAATACTACCAGGGAAGCAGACGTTCACTCCATTGTACAGATGCACAAGCAAGGGGCTCCGAAGGCACGTCCCCGAGTCACACAGCAGCCAGTGAGGGAGCTCCATTAACACCTACGTCTTCCTCCTCCCCCACTTGTCTCCTCAGAGACAGGGACAGCCGCTCACAATCCCGCCTAAGTTCTCTATGCTGGAATCTTCACATGGGAAAATCTTTCAGAGCCATGGGAAAGTGGATGACGACTAAGCTAAGCCAGGAAAACAGAAAACCACCAGGATGGGTACCTTCAACCTTTTCCCTCCTCCAAACACGTTGGCCCCCAAGCATCAGACTGAACTTTCAAAAAGAATTTATTTATTTCATCGCTGACATGGGAGGGTGAAGGTGCGGGCGGTCTAACTTACCTATTAGGATTGGTGGCACTCTCCTTAATTGGAAGAAAAAATTTAGACGAAGTCACCTTTTTATACTGAGCTTGTTCATATGGATAGAGCAAAACCAACGGGAGAGTGTAGTCAAAAGTTATTCTTAAACCATCCACCATCTCCTTACAAAGGTCAACACTGGGAGGATTAAAAAGAAGAGATTAGAGATGCAATAAAGTAATAGGTAATTCCCAAAATTTCACAATGAAGTTGCACATTTTTAATAGGGCAGAGTTTTAAACTTAAACATTATACGGTATATTAGACCTACATACATAAAGAATGAAATGAGTTTGTAGCTGCTAACAGTCAAGACTTAATTATGAAAATAAGGGCTAGCCAATTAGCTCAGTTGGTCAGAGGGCAGTGTTACATCAAGATCAAGGGTTCAGATCCCCTTTCCAGCCAGCCATCAAAAATTAATAAGTAGATACACAGGTAGATAAATAAATAAGAAAACAGACCCATAATATAAAGTGCAGAAAGTACGGTACTATAGTAATCTCAACACAAATGAATACGTTCGATGCCACATGAGGAGTCCAAGCAGCCAATGCTACAGAAAGCGACAGACCACAAGCACTGCAAGCTGAAGGGGGCAGACCTCCATCAACTCCCAACCTTGTCTCAACTCCAACAGTCTTTCTGCCTCTGGTCCACCTGGGTCACAGGTGCAAGGTAGGATGTGAGGAAGGCTACTCTGACTGGAATGAAGTCCTGTTTGTAAACAAGCTTTGAGAAAAATCTCATCACCCATTCTGGTGCTTCTTGAGGAAAGAGTTCTCACCCTAAATGATATCACTGAAGAAACTGGTCTCAGCACTGAGACAGTGTACTCTCAATACATCCAGGCCTCATGTGTAAACAGTTATTAAAGACTTCATAAAAGTGACAAGATTTTGATAGACTGATTATTCAATGGATTAATAAATTATTAAATAATATATTACATGAATTCAAAATAACTGAATGGAAACAAATGTCACCTTCTCTAAATGCAAGCCACTGCTCTGATGCACAAAGATGACCACGAGACACCACCCATGCTAGTACTCACTTCTTCTCTGCTGGGATATAATGCACATTCATGTGTGCGTGCATCATAGTGTGATGGTGACGAGGCCTCTCGTTGGCTGAAAAGGCTGCATTGATAGCAAAATGCTTCACGTAGGATTCCAAAATAGTGATGATGTTGGTCTGGCATGGAAGTTTCACTAACTGTTAATGAAAAAACAGACATCTGATGTATGCACCCCGTTGTAATAAACCACATAGTCCAAGAAACAGGAGTCGTGACTATATCATTTTTTTTAACTCAAAAATAAAGTAAAGCCAATTCTGTTCAAATAGAAGTTCTTAAATAAATATGCTCTGAAATTCTTGGATCTTTTCTAACTCCACTGATCATATTCCCATGTTTATTACAATATTAATATTTTGAATGAATGTAAGCAGTGGCTCTTAACTTTAGTGATCCATTAGAATAATCTGGGAGCCTCTAAAAGTATACCCACACCTGGCCCCCACCACAGGTCAATTAAGTCGTAATCTCTTTGTTAAAGCCCAGGCATCAGAATTCCGGACAGCTTCCAGAGGATTCTAATGGTCGGCCAGGGCTGCATGAGTTTTAATTGAATCAGCAGCATAGCACCACTGTCAGAGAACATTAAAACCTGACTCAGTACAAAACTGAAAATATAAATTCCATTCCTCCAAGCTGCTCAATTGTTTGAGTCTGTGATTGCAAAATATGGCTAAATGAAAGTGTTATAACAAATCCATGTTTTACACGCTCTCCCTGTATACCCGTTTCCTCCTGTTAATATAGTAACAATCATCCTCAAGCTGCTTCTTCAGAACTTCAGGGATTTCTATAGTTACTGTTCTTTCTTCCATTTCCCTTTTTTTTTGCAGCTCCGGTTCTTCTTTCTGCAATATCACAATTCCATTTGTAAGTACTTAAAATAGTGGGAAAGCCTACACCCAAAGAAGGATGCACACATGAAAGCCTGCTATGAAACGAACACAGTTAAGCCTCAACATTCACATTATGCTACATGATCTAATTAAAAGTATGTTAAAGGCCAAAAGTTAACTTGTTTTAGGGCACTAACCAGGATACAAATGCTTATTTTGTTTCCTTCCCATTTAATTTTACCACTGGGATTTTCATTAATTTTGGAAGCAGGCAGAAAATGCCAAACTCTGTTATGCACCATTAAAAAATTAAGCATCACCATAAAACAAAGTTCATAAACTGATTGGAAAAAAAGAGGTAGCTATAATTTGTGGAAACACTATGAGCATGAAGAGCCACTGAGAAGCTCATATGGTGACTATAAATAAGGGTGGTTTTTCTTTAAATGTGAAGTAAAAATTTATAATATTGGTTTTAAAAAATGTACCTTTAGAAAATAATTCACGACTGGAGAATTTTACCACTAAAATATGCACCAAAGACAAAGAGTTTTTATAATAAAAACTTTATACCCTTTCGGTCTTTTCTTCAATATCACTTTCTCCACTTATTTCTTCATTTTTTTCTTCACTACTGTCATCAGAGGAACTGCTTACTGCTAGTGAAACAAAAATGTCAGGCAAACCCGGATTAGATACTTCACCAACCCTCAGGTTTACAAAATTTTAGATATAGAGTATGTCTCAGTGTGAACAGTAAACTGCAGTCCTGCATATATTTTAAATGCTGAACACAAATACTGGACCTTTCTGAATAGAAATTTATTTCAACAATCAATTTTGTTTGTTTGTTTCATTTTGTTTTCTTTGGCAGCTGGCCTATAGGGGAATCTGAACCCATGACCTTGGTGTTATAAGGCTGTCCTCTAATCAACTGAGCTAACTGGCCAGCCCCTTGACAACCTATTTTTTATTGGTTATGAATATTCATGAGATACAAAGCTGATTGTCACTCCTTGTGCCCAAGATGTGAAGGCCAGATCCATACTGGCAGCATGCACCTTACCACAAATAGTGTTTGTACTCCATGTCCTCCCCCTTCCTCCCCCTCCCACCCCACTCCTCTTTGTATCCCAAGGTATGTTCTCTCCCTCTGCAAGTCCAACCTATTTTAATGGATGTAAAAATCACACAAGCTAATGATCTGAAAGTGTTCTGTCAGCTCGATCCTATGGTTCCCTGTCACATTCACAAGTGGGGCCAAGGTGACAAGAAGAGCAAGAGGATCTCATGTAAAGACCCTGGCTGAGAAGGCAGGAGTCATGAACATGACTCTGGTAAGGTCCTATTACTGACTTATTGTGATACTGACTTATCATATTGACTGCTACTTTAATTGTCAAAAACAAAAGGGATCAAACATTATACATACTGAGTTTGAAATGTTTCCATGTCTACAATTTCACTGAATCCTCCCCTCAGTCTTAAAAAGACCACATGAAAGTTTGTTTAGCCTAAAAAAATGAAGTCAAGCCACTCACAGTTTTCATCATTTTCATCTTTTTCTTCAACAGGGAGGTTTTTTAAGACAGAGTCAACACCAGGCAACCTGCAGCGCTTCCTCTTTCTTCCTGTGCTTCTCCTGAAAATGATAAACACAACTGAAATAAATTTTGATGTTGACTGATTTGGGTCTTGAGATCAAAATAAGATCTCATAAACAATAATTCTTAAATATCTAAAAAATAAACAGACTTTAGAACATAAATGGTAATCCCCATTTCAGAAAATTATACAATAACCATTCTGAAATCCCTGCAGTTATTTAGAATACAATAGGAATGCTCTTTCTGTACACACTGTAAATATGTAAAATTATTTAACAAATGATGTTTGTCATTTTATTACTTTTATATCATAAAAATCCAAAATACTAAGAGAAAACGCATTACATAACATTTATGTCATTTTTTGTATGCTTACAGGCGAGCTACAGCTTTTCTTGCCAATTTACGCTGTAATCTACGATTTTCATCGGTATCACGAAGCACATGATCTTCCGCTGCCCATCTATCCCAGCTAATTGAACAATAAAAGAAAAGGATGTAAAATTCAATATTTTTGTTTAATATAAAACAAATGCTATAAGCACCTTACAGGTACAGAAGTACTCCAGAATTACATCTTAAAATCACAAAGAGGGGCTGAGCCCATGGCGCACTCGGGAGAGGAGCGCAGCAGTGCTCCCGCCGCGGGTTCGGCTCCTATATAGGGATGACCGGTGCGGCCGGTCTCAAAAAGGACAAAAAAAAAAAAAAAAAAA